CTCTCTCTCTCTCTCTGTGTTTTTATGAACCTCTTTATTCAGCCTGGTTAGTTTGTCTCTATATCTCAACCACTGACCTTTGACTTGTCTAAATTATCTCTCTAAATGCAAATGAGTTGAGCTCTGTGTCTTTATCAATCATACGGCTTCTTAATAAATGTCTTCTGCCTCTAAACACTATTTAATTGGATTATTCTCAACAAATGTCGTTAATTCTCACAGGAACAAAGTGTTTGATAAAAAGTGTCTGTGCAGAGAAACAGGATTTCAGAGTTTCATGAAGACCAGCAGGGAGCAGACTCGTACCTGCAGACACTGTGCAGTGATCAGCCGAGCTCTGCAGCGTCCTCTTACACCCTGGAGACGGCTTGTGTTACTTGTAGTAAACCTTTTACACACTGAGGGTAACAAGATACTGCAGTTATGACATGGAGCGAGCCGATACACACTTAACTGGAAAAAACACACATTTAATACACAAATAACCAACATTTAGTAAATACACAAAGCATTTCTAAAGTAATAATCAAACAATGCGGTGTCATGAGGAAGGATAATTGATAATCACTTCCTGATATGACAGAACTTATTTTTAAAGCAGCTGTGATATTTTTACTGTGACAATGTTCTCTACTGTTTCAGCAACGTGTGAACTCAAAGAGGCGACACATTGGATCAGCTCTGGTTCTGGAAATACCTTTTCTCATTAGTGTTTCAGAAAATCCTCATACAAAGATTCAAGATGAATCGTGACCATGAACACGACATGATTCTCGTGGTTGTAGTTAATATTTTCATGGTAACATCAAGCTCCACCAATGAGAGATTATTTTTTTCTCACTTATCTAAATCAGCTTTGGGGGAATTTCAATGTATTTATTGGATAATAGACGACAGGGTGTTGAGGAGAAGGATGGAGAAGATATGCTGCTGATTTTAACTGCGGTCGTTTTTGACTTTCAACCACGGCCGAGAACCAAGGGCTGTTTCCCATCTGTCCTCTGAGCGGTTTGTTACCTCTCCACACAGGAGGGACACTCGCTGCCGTAAGTGAATCCTTGGCTCATGTCTGGCCTGAATTATTAACCTGACCAGAGAGATGATGAGGACACACCACGGTCCACCACAGGCTGCGTGGACATGACATCACAGCTGACACACACTCTACACCGACGTCTCAGTCACGGTTGTCCTCAGTGTGGAGGAGCAGCTGTGGTGAATCTGTCCTGTGTATTAGATGTTCAGCAGAAATCATGCATTCAAATGTATAAAGTCTGATTTCCATTTAAATCTTGGCTGCAATGTTGCTGAAGCTATTCCTATAAAATGGCAGCTTTTGCATGGAAGACATAACATTTTATATTTAATAAGACAGTGTCGGTCCCTGGTGGCTCTCAGATGGATCGTTTATGTCCACGGTTTAAAAAGCAGATTTAAGAGCTGAGTTTTGTGACTAGTGTTGTGATATAAAGTAGAAGATGGAACAGTAACACTCCATGGGGCTGAAAACGAGCCACACTATTGGGTGGATTTGTGGGTCATGAACATGAATTAGACCACGACCGTCTGCATTTGTCTTTGGTGTCTGGTTGTTTGGCCTCGAGGGCTTCATCGGCTTCATCGATCTTTAAATGACGTCCGTAAAAAGCCTTAAAAAACACAGTTCAACTACTTTCTGCTCAGTCGCTCTCTCTCTCTCTCTCTGACTCCTGGACTCACACTCATGCTTTAAAGGCTTAAAAGCTGCTCATTCGCTTTGAATCTGGTGACGTCATACATTGCAGAACTGCATTATGGGTAATATCCTATCACACCAGTGCCAGATACCATTCTAGGGCGGTGCTGTTGGTCTCCTTTAGGCCTTTCTCGGAGCGAATGGACCCAGTGGGCACCGACAGAGGACCCACGGAGGATGTGGTCCTTGATCTGTGGAGCCCCAGGGTCACTGAGCGCTGGGGTTGATTTCTCACTTTTATACGTTTGGTCAACTTTCACCTTCGCTCTGTTTGTTGTAACGCAGTCCTGTCTGCTGGGGGGTGGCTGGGCCTGTTGTAGCTGCAGCCTGTAATACATCGTGGTGACTGGTCTCTGGGAGAGTATCAAGGCACCATGAAGGTTTGTCACTGAGTCAGCATCAGAGAACAGTTATTACCAGTTATTAGTTTGCAGGATTACTCAGTAAAGTTCAGAAGATTTCCATGAAACTTGGTGGATGAGTCAGAAGAACGCGTGGAGTTTTGTAGTGGATCTGTGTCAGAGGCCCGGGGTTGGTTTTTATCACTTTCTTTAACTTTAATTCGTGGATCTTGATGAGTGGAATGAAAACAAATTCAAATATGGATGAAGTGAACTGCTGGCGGAGGTGTGCGCTCTCCGAGGGACCCTCTAGTTGTTTGTACTGTGGCTGCTGAACAGTTTTTACATGTTTGACTTTTTATCACCAGGAGATCTCCTCCTGAACTCTGTCCTGAATGTGTTGTCTTGTCACTCTCCTCTGAATAAAGAGGAGTTTAAGAAAAATAGTTTTTGGATGATAAGTTGAAAAGATGAAGAAAAAGAAAGAGTGCGCACGCAAAGAAAAGAGGAGACAAAAAGACAGACACCAAACAGATCCTCTGAAATTTAAATTATTCAACATGTGGCTTCTGATAGTTTGCCACCGTGTGTGTGTGTGTGTGTGTGTGTGTGTGTGTGTGTGTGTGTGTGTGGTGACAGGTGCTTGGTGGTGTAATGTTCAGGCTCAGTTTGCCAGACGGAGAATTTACTTAATTAACCTGACATATACAATATGCAACACACACTCAAACAACAAGTTATCTCACACACACACACACACACAACCAGAAGTCACCAGCTCACATCTCAAACTACATTCAGCTAAATGTTAACAGCGGCCTGATAACTAAGACGGACGTTGATGGAAATGTCGTTAAATATTAGATTTGTGGGGTGAAACCTCACGAGTGAAGGTCCTGTTGCTGCACGCCGTCAGTCTCAGCTGTCAATCAGGATGTTTCACCACGTTATCAATGCATCAAATAACTAATTAAATCCAAACTGAACAGAAACATGAACTCATCAGTGTGATACGAACCTCAGATGTCAGGAAACAACTTATTCTACCTGGTGGTTGACTTTTAGTGGTCTATGCCACATACACTAACACGGAGTATGATCTATACTGGAGCCAGCCACCAGGGGGCGATCGGGAAGCTTTGGCTTCACTTTTGGGGGGCTGTCATGTCGTCCATCTTTATTTACAGTCTGTGGGTCAGACGCTCACCAAGGTTGGATCTTCTTCCTCTGTCACAACAAGTCGTTTGAACTGAAGACAGTGGAAGTGTTGACGTCGTCCTGCCGATCGAGGCATCAGATCAGGACCTGGCATTGAGTTTGAAGGGGTTGTGACATGTGCATGGTCCACAGAGGATTAACCACTTCCATGATTCATTGTGTTAAACAGTTTTTCTTTTAGTCATAATAGCCTCTGTGTTCCTCAGAGAGGAAACATGATTCATCCTGCATCACCTGCAGAAGTCTGTCCAGCGATATTTATCTGTAACAGAAATCAGAAACAGAAATCCAACACCCCGGGACACAGCGAGGAGGAAGTGACATCTTGTTGCCATGGGCGACAGGGGAGGTTGTGTTAACAAAGTGTGAGTGTAACAGAGAGAGAGACGGAGAGAGAGGGAGAGGGAGAGAGAGAGAGGGAGAGAGAGAGAGGGAGAGAGAGAGAGCAGGAGGAACTGTTACTACAGAAACTGACCTGAACTGAGAGGCTGGATTTCATCAGACACTTTTTCAGAGGACTCGTAGAGAAGGTCCCAGAGCAGGAGGCTCTTCTGTGTGACACTGAGTCTGAGATCAGACCGGCTCCTCTTCACATCTCTTGTAAAAGGAATGTCTGTTTTTTTCTCGATGAACCCAGGGAAGAGAAACGGGTTACACGTGACTGATCTGCTGGACTTGAACCTGTGATGAACCATGAAGATTTTTTAACATTTCAGTTCTTTCAATGACAGATGAGACCTAGTTCCATATTATTCATGGATTTGTGGAAACTGTGCACACGTGTGACGACACAGAGGAAATAATACAAACATCAGATCTCACATGTTTCCACCTGTAGCTGTGGATATTTGATTCGCGTCAGAGTGAAATCAGACGTGTGAGTCTGTGAACGTGAAGATGTACCGGCGTCGGGACTATGTGGAGCTGTATGAGAAGGATCAGGCCAAATGGGCTCTGGTACGCAACGTCAACACTGCAACCAAACAGAGCACACTGCTGCCGGTACGCTGCAACACTGTGTGTGTGTGTGTGTGTGTGTGTTTCATGAGTCATAATTATGTGTCTGAACTCAGTGACGTAAAACATGTGTGTGTGTTTCATACGTTAAATACTGTGTGTGTATGTGTGTGTGAAAGAGAGAGAGAGTTGTCCTCGCTGTTGTCGATGAGGCAAATTGTGGTTTGTGAATATGGATCATACAAATAATATTTGATTGATTTGGTTAAAGTTAAGGAAACATCGTGAACTTGTTCCAGAATAAGTTTGGAGACTTCTTTACTTTGTGAGCTGCTGTTTTGAAGCCTCCGCTCCGACATTTGGTCCGGAGCCATCTTGGTTTTCTGAAACCAGAAGTAACCGTGTGTGGAGGAGTGGGGGAGGAGTGGGGGAGGAAAAGGTTTACTGACGTCATAAATCAAGTAAAGATCAGAGTCAATTTCACTTCTATCAAAATTCTTTTAAACCAGTGCCCTCTACTGGTAATTTCATAGAATGCAGGTTTCACTTCACTTTCCGGGCGCTGGAGTCTACGTCCATTGATAAATACATTTTAATGCACCAACCTTCCTCTCAGATGTCCTCCCTGTTCACATTGACAAATTCCTGGTGCTCGTTGTTTAGCTTTGTCTTCTTTCCAGAAGTTTCCGGTCCACACAGGAAGAGTCTGATGACCCCGGGTTAATTTCTCCCTTTTCACACTGCACCATTTATTTAAAAGCCAGTATTGATTTACATGCCCTGCTGAGTGTTGATGCTCCAATAAGCACAGTAACGGAGGTAAAGGTCAACACAGTGCAGAGACAGTTAAATAGGTTCACACATGTACAGACCGCATTAAGCCGGGTGAAGATGCAGTGACATGGATTATAATTAAATAAAAATGGTTAAACTTTAAACCTTTCCTCTCTGAATCTGAATTCTCAAGTGATGCTGCTGATTGTCGTCATTCTGACACTGATTTAAAACTACACTTCTTCTTATTCTTCTTTAAATTCATTATTTTAAACCTAAACTTGATCCTTGATTCCTTTTTTTTAAATTTAGGGCGACTATGTCTGGTTGGACTTGAAGAGCGGTCGAGAGTTCGAGGTACCGATCGGTGCGGTGGTCAAACTCTGTGACTCAGGACAGATCCAGGTGCTGGACGATGAGGGGAATGTAAGTAATGAAACATTTGACCTGTAACTGAAAAACACAACATTTCAAAATAACTGTACAAACTTTATTTAACGACACTGCCAGTGTCCAGGAGCTGATCGGTGCTTTCTGTCAGTGTAGCCCCAGATGCTCCCAGAGCAGGCAGGCGTGCATGTGTCCAGTAATTAAGTGTTGGATCCAAACAAAGCGATGTTCTGCACGTGTTCTGGTACGATGGCTTGAACACGGTCCAGCTCTGTGGACCACAGTGTTGAATTCAGCAGCGAGGTCTCTCCGGTGTTCCCCCAGAGAGCTGACAACAGATATCATGATGACATGCTGGTTGCCCTCGGTTCTGACATTTGGTGTGGCCGTGGTTCAGGAGGTAGAGTGGGTTGTCCTTGAACCAAAAGGACGGTGGTGCGATCCCAGTCTTTTGCATGCTGAAATATCTTTGAGCCCCAAAGTGAGGCTTTAAAAATGGAAAATTACAGGAGCCAGATCCAGAACTGTTCACCCGGCCTCAAAAGTCCACATTTCAAGATGTTGGGATGATGAAGCGTTTGTGTTTTTTGCTGTAATGGAGAACGAGTGTGCCTCTGTTTATTTTCCTCTACAACCCTTCAGGAGCACTGGATCTCCCCCCAGAATGCCACCAACATTAAGCCAATGCATCCTACCTCCATCCACGGGGTGGAGGACATGATCCGGCTGGGAGACCTCAACGAAGCTGGAATTCTGCGGAACCTGCTCATCAGATACAGAGAAAAACTCATATATGTGAGTGTGTGTTACTACACCCAGAATGCACTGGGCTCTGCATTTACAGCCGTGTTTTATTAAGATAAAGATCATGATGTTGAAATCATACAGCATTAATACAAACACGGTGATACGGTGGCTTTAAGGATACAAACATTAATTAAAAACATATTGTTTGACCCCTTTAAGGAGAATTTGAACTTTTTAAACTCAAAACTTTAATGACCGTCTCTGACAGATTTCTCAGACTTTCTTTTCCTCTCTCATCTCAGTCTCTCGCTTCTTTATTCTCTCTTAATGTGACACTTTCTTCCTCCTTCCTGTTTCCTCTGAAGACAAACTGTGGTGGCAGGGTAAGTCAGTTCCTGGATGTCGAGCATGACTGGAGAGGGATCCGACCTCACCTGGAAAATAATGCATGATGTATCTAGAGCTCATGTTCGTTAATGCAACAGCTGCATGGCCTCAAAAACCGAAATCTGCAGGATTGAGCTGAATCTTTAACCTGCATGAATTCTGCACGTTTTAAATGTCTGATAATCCTGAAACTGAAAAGAAATCATGGATGTGTCTCGTGTATAAAACTGTCTGAGTGCGACTGACTCGGGCTCAGCAGTGACGGAGCTCATCTCTGCAGCCTGAGTGCATGTTGATTTATTTCCAACATGGCCGTCTGTTCTCCCGTGGCGAACTCTGATACCTTCTCATTGTCATCCTCCAACATCTGAGCTCCGAGGCCTGTACGTCACGTCGCCTACCCTCCGCCAGGCCCTCCACCACCCTGCTGTCCAGTCTCACACATCACTGGCATAGAAACCTTCAAACTAGCTCAGAATTATAGTTTAACAGCAGCTTCAGTTTGAAATAATTAGACTTCGCATCATTGTCCCTCCTCCACGTGCAGACATACACCGGCTCCATCCTGGTGGCCGTCAACCCGTATCAGCTGCTGCCCATCTACACCGCCGACCAGATCCGCCTCTACACCAACAAGAAGATTGGAGAGATGCCGCCTCACATCTTTGCCATCGCTGACAACTGTTACTTCAACATGCAGAGGAACAACCGCGACCAGTGCTGCATCATCAGGTAGGAGAGAGTAAAGTACAAGTCTGATTAGTTTGGTCCCAAAACTTTGGTTCAACGTGAAAAATCTCAACAAATATCATTATTGTGTAATTTGGCATGTGTGTGTCTGTGTGTGTGTCTGTGTGTGTGTGTGTGTGTGTAATAGTGGAGAGTCTGGAGCAGGGAAGACAGAAAGCACCAAACTGATCCTTCAGTTCCTGGCAGCCATCAGTGGTCAACACTCCTGGATAGAACAACAGGTCCTGGAGGCCAATCCTATCCTAGAAGGTAGACACACACACACACACACACACACACACACACACACACACACACAGTATACTCTAGTGCATCATCTTGTTTCTCTTGCAGCTTTTGGAAATGCTAAAACGATCCGCAACGACAACTCTTCTCGTTTTGGAAAATACATCGACATCCACTTCAACAAGAGAGGAGCCATAGAAGGAGCCAAGATAGAACAATACCTGCTGGAGAAATCCAGAGTGTGTCGACAGGTACGTCACTAACGACACTGTAAAAGACTGTTTACACACGACCGGGTTGAAGGGATTAACTGTGACTTGGTCTGAAAACACAGTTTAAATAGTATTTATGTATCAAGACTAAACTGTAAATAACACTTTATATGTTAATATATTATCAGGTATGTATAATACATATTTTATAAATATATATATATAGAGATAGTTCACACACTACGGATGCAAGAGGATCTGTTTTTAATTCGCACAAATATTTTCTCAATTTACTTACAAACTCAATTTCTCATTGGTTTAATTCTTTAATTTCTCATTTCAGTGTTTGTTCATTTATTTGTAATAATCTGTTTTTCCTCTCAGTCTGTCTCTGTGCTGCTCTGATGTGAATTTCCATTCATCAGTTAATGAAGCGAGGTCTCGTTGTTTTCGCTGATTTCCTCTGTGCAGGCCTTCGATGAGAGGAACTACCACGTCTTCTACTGCATGTTGAAGGGAATGACTGCAGAGGAGAAGAAGAAACTGGGGCTGAGCAAAGCTACAGATTACACCTACCTGACCATAGTGAGTGATGTTTACTGTCGAGTTCAAGATCAGACTCATCCACTTCACTGCAGCTGCAACAAAAGTGTTAAAACTCTTGATCTCTACATCAAACTCACAGAGAAAACACTGACTCTGGGTTTTTCTTTTGCCTGAAGGGAAAGTGCACAGTGTGTGACGGTCGAGACGACTTGAAGGAATACTCCAACATCCGCTCTGCCATGAAGGTACACAACTACACACTGTTCAACACACACTGATCTAAACCACATACACACACACACACACACACTGATCATTTCTGAACCGACACTTTTTCCTGTTCTGCAGGTTCTGATGTTCACAGACAAAGAGAACTGGGAGATTTCTAAACTGTTGGCTGCTATTTTACACATGGGAAACCTCAGATATGAAGGTGCAGTTTCATCTTCCTGCTGCTTGTTTCTACGTCCGTCTGAAAACTTCTTGTCTTGCTTCTTTTCTCCTGGGATTAGAGGAACACAGCTTCAGGTGGATGACTTCTTCTTCTTTTGCTTTTTTAATAACTTTGTGTTTATGCTCTGTTTGACCTTTGACCTGCAGCTCGGACATACGACAACCTGGATGCCTGCGAGGTCGTCCGATGTCCTCACCTCACCACTGCTGCTACACTGCTGGAGGTGACACACGCACACACACACAAACACAAACACACATGTTGGATGGACTCAAACCTTGTGTAGCAGATTCTCCTCATACTGAGTGTGTGTGTGTGTGTGTGTGTGTGTGTGTGTGTGTGTGTGTGTCAGGTGGACAGTAAGGACCTGATGAACTGTCTCACCAGTCGGACTCTGATCACCAGAGGAGAAACCGTCTCCACACCTCTCAGTATGGAACAAGCTCTGGACGTACGAGACGCTTTCGTGAAGGTGAAACAAATAATTAAATATAAAAAGGTGTTTTACAAACATTTGTTAATGAACTCATCGGTTTAAAGTCTGACACTCAACACATTATCATGTACGACCGTAAATATGAGAGATACAGATCAAATAATCGGATTATTAATCATTCGAAACAAACAACGTCTGATATTTTAAATCTTTGTTAACAAAAATATTCTCTGAAAAGAGTCTTCTCTCCACATTAGTGCCACTTTGTGCTGTGATTGACTTTCATGTGTGTGTGTGTGTGTGTGTGAGCAGGGTATTTATGGACGTTTGTTTGTGTGGATCGTGGAGAAGATCAACGCCGCCATCTACAAGCCTCCGTCATCACAGCCCAAATATCTCAGACGCTCCATCGGACTCCTGGACATCTTCGGCTTTGAGAACTTTACTGTCAACAGGTACAACACCTGCTGCTTCTCTTTCAGTTAATATCAAGTGAACCTGGAACATCTTCCTCTGAACCTGAGGAGCTCAGTCTGCTCCTCTTCTCTTCTTCCTCCTGCAGCTTCGAGCAGCTTTGCATCAACTTTGCCAACGAGAACCTGCAGCAGTTCTTCGTGCGTCACGTCTTCAAGCTGGAGCAGGAGGAGTACAACCTGGAGAACATCAACTGGCAGCACATCGAGTTCACCGACAACCAGGACGCTCTGGACATGATCGCCATCAAACCCATGAACATCATCTCGCTCATCGACGAGGAGAGCAAGTTCCCCAAGGTTCAGTGAACACACTCAGCAGCCGGATTAACTAAACACAAGAACCAACACCTGAATGTGTTTTCTCTGTGGTTGCGTCTCCTGCAGGGCACGGACACCACCATGTTGAACAAACTCAACTTTCAGCACAAACTCCACACAAACTACATCCCCCCGAAGAACAACTACGAGACTCAGTTTGGAATCCAGCACTTTGCAGGAGTGGTTTTCTACGAAACCAGAGGTCAGCGTCACGTCCTACACACCAGGAAGTGATTTACTCTGTGTGTTCATAACCTGACACAGGTTCTTCTGGGGAGGTTTGATGGTCACTGATTGGAAAAATACTTTCATTGATTAATGTTTGATGATTGGATGAACCGTGTGTCTGTCATCGTGTCTCAGTGTTTCTGAAACAGCTCTGGAGAAAAGCCCTGATTGTTGTTCTCTGTTCTTCTTTCCATCTTTTATAACAGTCGCTCCTCGTCACAGTGTTCAAACACATCACGAGGTTCATGTCACTAACTCACATTTGTGTGTGTGTGTGTGTGTGTGTGTGTGTGTGTGTGTGTGTGTGTGTGTGTGTGTCCTGCAGGCTTCCTGGAAAAGAACAGAGACACTTTATACGGCGACATCATCCAGCTGGTTCACTCGTCCAAGAACAAGTTCATCAAACAAATCTTCCAGGCTGACGTTGCCATGGTAACAGATGGTGTATACACACACACACACACACACACACACACACACACATCCAGTTTATTTGTTATGTTTGACAAATACTCCTAAACACAAATATATGTTTTTGTTTATTATCATTTTCAAATGAAATGAAAACATTTTCTCACATTTGAGAAGCTTGAATCAGTGAACTCTCGTTAATTAATGGACTCACAATAATGATAATAATAAAATTATTATTTGACATAGTTGTTATTTCTGTTCTTTTGATTCATGTTCAACTGAACCTGCGTCGTCACCAAGATTTATATTTAGGGACGGAGGTGTCACAGCTCAGGAAGAGAAAAAGAGAGTCCTCATTGTTTCGGACACTTTCTGTGTGTGTGTGTGTGTGTGTGTGTGT